GGTTGGATCTGTGGGAAGAACGTTTCCCTACAGAAGAGACTAACACAATAGGAACAGGGATCCTTTGTTCAATTTGAAACATTGGATGAAATTATTGCTTCAACATCTGGCATTCCTACTGACCAAGCATAGCTTAGCAAAGGCAATGTTATCTTGTTTCTTCTGCTTTTCTCTTAGCGAATCACTATTTGCTAGGCCTCTGGTCTCTTGACCATACTCTGGACGTTGGGTCTGGAAAAGAGCTGGAACAATCCATATACCAGGTTGTTATATAAAATGCACATGGATTTTAACCCTTCAGGGGCTTCTCGGTCCTAGTGAGGATAAGCTGCTAATGAAACCCGTGTTCCCTGTTACGACACCACCATCTGTACTTTATTTAACTCCCTGCTGAAATTTCTCAATTCTTCCTCCAGCCCCACTCAAACAGTCAGAATCCAGCAATTTCAGTGCTGGCCACATCTTCCGCTCTGCCTTCGAGTCTCTCCAGTAAACCTTCTCCTAATCCAACCGTTGGAGGCGACCTGCTTCTCACGGGCCGCACACGATGCTCCCACGGGCCATTTGGTTTTTCCAGCAAATATTGTGATGCCAAAGATGACTCCTGTTGCTTTAAAGCCGCTGTGTCCGCTAACAGCGGCTCCCAGCCCTGGATTCCATTCCTGGTGGTTTTCCAAAGGCTGTGGGTCCCAGTTTTGTTTTCCCAACACGTTCCCCTGAGTCAATAGCCCGACAATCCCTCATCGCCAATCCCTCTTGTGCCTCCCCAGGTTCCAGTCCCTCGCCCTTTTCACCCCACACCCTGCCCTCATTCCAGTTGCTTCCCCTTCTGCCAGGAAACCATCTAATGCCCCCACCGTGGCCTGGATCTCTGTTCTCCAGACAAATACAGCCGTTCCCAGCCACCATCCTCCAACCCAACGGTGGCCGGATGTTTCTCCTTTTTGCACAGCTGGGGCTGTTCTAATGGGGCAGAATTCCTCGCTCCTAACTCCCTCTTCCATGCAAACTATTCCTCCGTGGGGCCTGAACCCCCTGGGATGCTCCCATGCACCCACTCACAACAGCTTATCCGGCTCCTTCTCCAGAATGTTCCCCATTATCCCATCATCCCTGCCAGGAGGAACAGCCTCAGCAGAGCGAAGGCTGCTGCCCCCCACTCCGAGTCCTCGTCCGTTAATGCCGATGGGGTGGCGGGGAGATAGAGGAGTTGGGTCCTCCAGGTAGGGAGAGGAGGGTCCCATGGCGAACGTGGCTCTTTGGAGGGGTCATTTCTGGGTGATATTTTCCCTTACGGATGCTGCAGCCGTCCTGAGCCAGAAACCCACAAACACCAGAAAGAGTCACGGGGCAAAAATTAAAGTGGGGGGGAGGTGAGGGGGGAATGTCAAGAGACAGTGTGGAGGCACTGAAATGCCGTTGTCCTGAGTGTAGGACCAAAGGGCAAGAAACCTGAGGAGACTATGCCCTGGGTCACCCTAAGCAGAAAGTCAGTCTTGCATCCTTGGCTAGTGGCATATCCATCCCACCACAGGAGAGGAAGGAGGTTGTTTTCATGGTTTGAGGAGAGGACTACAGGTAGGGTTGACTGCTCAAGGGTCCTTTATGCTACTGATGTGATGACTTAGTGGTAGCAGTATGGTGGTAAGAAATGACCCCTGGCTGGCTCTCGATTGATGCCGTAGAGCAGTGGTCTCCAAACGTTTTTGATCGTGCACCCCATCAGTAAAAAAATTTTGAGCACGCACCCCTGCCGCGCCGGCTCTACCAAAAAAAAAAAAAAAAAAAAAGCCGCTCGGACTCCGG